ATATGCAGTAAAAGAGCCGTCCATGAATCAACGTATCTTATGCAGTGATTATGCTATTGTCGGTCCGTTCGAAGGGATGAAAGTCAATGGCCAGTTTAGTGACGATAAGCCAACTGTGTACAGGGTGGTAACTGTTAGACTGACTTGCACGAATAAAGGCATTTCAGGTTTCAAACTACTATTTGAATGTTATTATCTTTGGTGCAAATTACTCTGTACATTCGCTTGGTTGGTCAGATACGTCGTATGTTTGTTAGTCATCTACCTTCCACGAAACAATGTCATGGGCGTGTTTCCATTCAGAGTCGAGGATATAGATGATGGAAGGAGGTCAGCAAATGAACTCAACGACGATTTTCCAACTTAAGGGCGTAAACCCGAGAAGCGTTGTAGGCGTACTGCTGTAAGTCCTACAATTCTTCAAGGGTAGTACGTCGAAGAGCAGTCAATCGTACTTCGTGTATTATTTTGTACATATGTTCATGTTGTATATAATCAATTGGTATCATCCCTCTTCTATCTGTTGATTAATTTTGTTTGTGTCCGGACGTCTTCCACTTGGATCGTCAACCTGAGAAGAAATGTAGGCGTACTGCTGTAAGTCCTACAGTTCTTCAAGGGTAGCTCGTCAAGGCAGAATCCGCAATATTTGATGTATTGATTGTACATATGTTTGTGTTGAGTAATTCAGTGGGTTCCGATTCATCTGATTGTCGGTTAATTTTATAGTTGTCGCATTGTGTGAATCATCTTGTAATGCTTTTGTAAGTACTTCTGAATTCGCTTCTAAACTTGTGAACGAATCGAGTAGAGTTAGAGTCAGCGTACGCGATTGGATACGCCGGGGAGAGGATTGGGCTAGAGTGGAGTGAAGCAATCGATACTTTGTGAACGAGATCAGTGGTGGTATTGTCGTCAGACAGCGTAGACCCCATGCGCCGGGGAGAGCGTGTCGGTGTGATGTGGTATGTTTGCTGTGTGTTGGGCTTTTTTGTCTTGCTTTTCCAATTTTAGCCTAGTCCCGATTGGCCCAGGTTCCCGCATTGGCAGTTCAGTTCAAGGTTACCGCCGTTGTGGAAAAAAGGGATGGACCCTTTTTTGCCGGGGAGTGTCAATGGAAGTGAACATTGAACGTTTGTTTTATTGGAACTGGCAACCATTGGCGGGAAATTGAAGGCGCGAATGGAACGATCGCTTGCAAGTTGAAGGAAGACTGGATTTCAATACGAATAAAAGTACTTTATAACTTCATTTGTACTTAACACTTGTTTGCAGACTTTGTAGTTTTCTTCAATTTAATTGCCAAACAATATAATTTCGTTCGAGGAATATTGGTGTTTTGGATTTAAAGTTGAAGGAAATACATAGTGTTTATCGGTTGAATCGCTTAAGTCTTCATTACAATAGGAACTTAGGGCTAAGTTCCTTGACAATTCCCGTCCACCAATAACAACAGGGATCAGTCATTATCAACGGAATAAACGTGAAAGAAGTCACTTTCTTCACCCACCTAAGCAGTTTTGTTTCAACTTCAGGAGGCACAGATAAGCATGTCAAAACCAGAATCGGAAAGGCGAAACAGAGCTTCATCATTCTAAGTCAGTTGAGAAATCTGTTGCACTCAGCATAAAGAGCAAAATTCGACTTCTGTTCAACACAAATGTCAAGTCAATCAGTTCTTCTGTATGAGTAAGAAACTCGCACTGCGCGTCAGGAATATGATTTCTAACTGACCTTAGATTTAAATCAACAGCTGCTTTAGTTTGCTCGATACTGAAAATAAGATGACTATTCAGAAAGAATTAGCAACAAGAGACTCTGAGAACGAACTAACCAGGAAACTACTGCCCAACAAATATGCAGAAGAAAATGAGGATCGATCGGAAATAAACTGAGAAGACTATCTGGTGATGTCGCGCACCAGGAAATTCATTGGATCCCGAATGAAAAACGACTAGAGTGACATGGGGGAGATAGTTTAGCAAGGAGGAGATGACAGATTACGGGCAATCGTGGACCCAGTTGGAGAGGATTTCAGAGATTAGAACAAAATGGAAATGTGTTGGTGAAGCTTTAAGTTCCAGTCAGAACCCAAAGAGACATCATTGCCTGATGAAACTGTATTAGTTTCATTGTAGATTTCGGTAAGAACCAACAGCATTTAGGGAATCAATAGAAACCACACAACACTGAGAAACCGTTTCATCTTAATTCTGGACGCATTTAGAAGACGTCTCGAACTTTTTCAACCCCTGTGTCTACGATTAGAGAACGAAATTCTGCAGACTCTACTTCAAACTGCATCTAAAAGTTCATCTGCAGTGGCAGTGCCACTTATATAGGTAAAACCAATAGAATGTTCCAATGTCGTTGAAAAGAACATGTTCCAAAATGGTTATTAAGACACACAGAAAATCTCAATGCAGTTATTAATCTGAATAGAAATCCAGCATCATCCATTGCAAAGCACTTATTAATGTCAGGTCACAAAATCGATATTAATGACTGTTTCACAATTATTTCACAGAACTCTATTTCAGGTTTGGTTATTGAAGGTGATGAAAGCACTCTGGAGCATGGTGCGTCGGTGGAATAGCGGTTAGGACGCCGGCAGACCATACACGTGGTCCGGAGTTCGAATCCCGGCCGACGCACTCCTTTACCTCACCAAGCCAGCAATAAGATTAGAAAAGAGAGGGAAGGTTGGGCATGAGGCTGGCTAGCAACCCCATCCTGCAAAAATCATCACCACTGCTACAGAAACTTCAAGCTACTAGCTTGAAGCCCTATGTTCCACTGAGGAACGTGAAGGAAAAACATTCTAAAGCATATGTGTACAAGACAACAATAGACTTCAACCTGCGCCTATCATGGACTACTTGACCTATTTAAAAATATGATTGGTGATTAGCATGTACTTTTGTTTTTTGTATAACTGAGTAATTGTCATGTCTTTTATTATTGTGAACCAACCATGCTAGTTGTAAAGCGATTGTAGAGGAAATACGAAATGATGATATGCACGATTTAAAATAAAAGTCAAAAATCAAAAAGCCAGTAAAGTCAAATTAATTTTCCATAATATTTAGACCAAAATGTTTTTCGGATTGAGATGTATTTGAGATGTATTATATACATAAAAAGCATGAAGTTAGCACTGAATATGTTGACCAGAAAGATAATAGGACGTTTCCCTGTAAAAATATTCGTCCTAAAAGTAAACGAAAAATATCAAAGACTTAAGGTGACTGACATTCAGACAACCTTTCCTTCAACTGGTGATGCTATCAAGGCCAAGTTAAACTTTAAGCACCACTAACTACAAATGGAGTGCGATTGCACCAATAACACTGAAACGTGCACTGAGCAAATTGGTTGAACCCGGCAAATAATGTTGTCGTCATCAACAAAATATGCTCATCGAATTATTAGGTTGTTAAATGGGATATCTGGCAAGTTTCAGCTAAGGTTTGGCAAAGATTAAGTTGCACTTTATTCCAAGGACAAGTTAGGGTTAGGTTAACCTAATAAAGGCGACATTAGGGTTAGTTTAGGCATATTTTCACATTAGGGTTAGGTTCTGGAAATATCAGGGTTATTGTTGGGTTTAGAAGACCTAAATAATTGCTTGCATAGAATGTGGTTAAATTACTCTGTTGATATAAGAACAGAACTTGGGCACTGTGGTGGTAGAGTATAATTCCATTGTAGGTAAAATTCATTTTGATAAAGTCTCACACTTATATACAGTAATATTTACTGATGACCACGTTTCGAGTACAATTTATTCCTCAATTAATATAACTGTATTACACTGAGACTTTATCAACATAAATTTTACCCACAATGGAATTATACTCTGATGGTACTCCAACCTAAAACAAGAGAGCTATTTTTATCACATGTGAGTGGAAGGTATCCTCTGTAACACTTTTCTACAGTTTAAATGCTTTTTTCATAAATATATGTTTAGATAAAGCAATAAGAAGACGTAATTTGTCTGAATCGTGTAATGTTGTATTTGCGCGCACAACACATTTCGAACAATCTGATCACACACCGACTTGTCATAGGAATGAATATATATGAAATCAATAAAGAGTTAAGAGGTGAGAAAATAAACTTAAGTCAAGTTAAAAGGACGTATTCAAGGTCAAAATAACAATAAAGACCACTAAACCAAATAGCAGAAGTAATAGTACATCTGCCCTGACTGGTATCAAAAGAAAATTTACCAAGGAAGGTGGTTTAGTGTGATGACGAATTGTTTTTGAACGCATTAAGGCGGCTTAAACTTTCAAATTGCCAGCTGGGGGTTCCACAAACTTTAGGATACGCCACAAACACGTTTTATGGATGGATAGGTTTAAAAATCTGTTAATGTCAATTTTATTTCCTATCCCATTGAGGAGCTAGGTCTCCTGTTCTCACCATCAATGGGTTCTGAAGATTCCATTTGTTCCTGGAGCAATTTAGGAATATGCTCTGAAGCCAGCCCTTACTTGCAGAGATCGATGAGTCCTACCTAGGTATGTGTGTCCACACGTACATTCAAATTGGTAAATACAGTGGGATGTGACATCATTTTTCCCATGTTCGAAGGGCTTAGATGGATGGATATATTGGCTTTACATTCTCAATTATTATGATATAAGCTGCATAAAAAGTCTTTTTAACAGCAGTTTTTCATTCCTTTCGTTCCTAATGGAACACAGGGCGGATTCAAACTGGATGGCCTTGAAGTTTCGGCAGCAGTGATTTTTTATTTTCAAGGGGGGGTACCCTACTCCCACGCCAAACCTTCTCTCTCTACTGGCCTTCCTACCAGCTTAGCGAGGTTTAGAAGTACGTTGGCCGAGGATCGAATCTCGGACCATGTGAAGCGCGGTTGACGGGCACTCTACTGCTGAACCACAGAAGCTCGAGTAACTCTAACGACAGTTAAACCCATTAAAATAAACAAATATAAATATCACACAAAAGTGTCGAAATCAACTCACATGGTTTACATGTATACCAACTATCGTCCATTTCGTTAACTGATACATATCCTGGTAGACAGAAACATTCATCTTGTAGAAGAGAACAAAAACTATCTCGTCTATACTGTCGACAGTATACATCTCCACCATTTAGAGTACATGATCCTAAATTTAACGAACGAAAATCTGTTGGATAGATATTTTCTCCTTGTAACGATTTACATATGACAAGTAAAATGAAAGTTTTATACATATTGTACACATTGAATTGTTTCCGGATAGAGCGCGTCATTTAATTGCATCTTCTATGGTATTTTTATGTATAATAACATTTCGTTGGATATGCAATTCACCCGGTTATTATGATAGGCGTACAATTTCAACATGCTTGCAAATATTACATAATGTCAGTTAATGACAGAAGATTCCAGTCGTAATGGTCAAGAATTACACTTGTACCCGCCAAAAGTTCAAGTTAAAACAAAATAAATAAGCGTTTGAATACAGTGGTAATAGTTACGTAATAAAAACAAGAAGTGAATACGATGACGAGTAACTAATACAAAATGAATGACACTATGGCGCGTTCAACTCGAACAACTTCTTGATTGGTGGTTTTCAACCAATCAGATAAGATCACTCTAAGTATAAGTATTATTGACCAATCAAATAAAAGTATTCCCACTGTTATTAACCAATCACAAACGTAGGTATGACATATTTTACTATTATTATCTGACACTAATAGTAATAGCTTTATTCTGAACAATGTTAATGTAACATAGAGAATTTCCAGAGGAGCTTTTGTTGCATGATATTTTCTCTCCGTCCAGGATCTTCTGATAAAAGACTGACTTTCAAGTATTGGTTTGTAGGGATTTGATTATAAGCTGACATCAGTTAGAGAATCATTGGAAAACCAGCCAGGGAGTACTGAACAGCTAGTTGTTTCGTCCTAGTTTGGGACTCTTCGGCAGTATGCACCCACCACAGGGGGTTTGAACCGAGGACCTTCCAATTACAAGCAAGCAAGTTCATAGACCATTAAGCCACTGGGACCCGATCAAATAGCCAGCCCATGAATTCAAACTTCTGCTAATTTACGACAAAGCGCGACCGCTAGCCAATGTCTTCGGCGAGTATTTGTCCTCACACTCAATCTGCTGCACCCTACTGGTCACGACTTCCCACTAGAACTCCATGTTACTACATACCTGAATAGGGCCAGTCACTAGCAAGCATCTCATTGATTTTCAAATATCGTGTGACACAGTTCTATCTCATCTGAAGCTCAAACTAAATCTGGATAAATTTAACGAATTTCATCCTGCAATAAATTTTACTATTGAGAAAGAAAAAGACTCTAGTATTTCATTTCTAGACGTCCTTATGACCAGAAAAAGAGGATGGCACAATAAGAAGAAGTGTATGTAGAAAACCTACATCAACGAGTCAGTATACACATTTTCTCAGCTTCGTGCCTTTGAAATACAAACGCAATCTGATAAAGTGCTTGGTCCGCCACAGAGCAAGAGCAATCTGCTCGGATGAATGTCTTGATGAGGAACTTAATAATATTAAACAGTTGCTAAGTGAAAATGGTTATCCTGAAAAGTTTATTGATAAGAATAAGAATCTAAAACCAAGACAGCCCAAGTTACCAACAGTTCTAAAAAAGGCCTTATTCATACAAATGCAGTTCCTTGGGGATAACACCAGTGAGATACTAACACAGCGTCTTAGAAATGCGGTAAAAAGAGCATTCCCTGCTGCCGAATTACGCTGTATCTTTAAAACCACTCCTCTTTTGCGTTCGGGATTAAAAGACAAACTGCCTAATTTCGCCTCTTCCATGTGTATACACCAATTTAACTGCTCCTGTGGAGCCAGTTACATAGACCGTACAATTAGGCGTGTTTCTCGTCGAATTTCCGAACATCACTCTGCAAAGTGGTTAAGCAAAGGACAAACAAAATCTATTCGTAGCGCTATTCTGTCTCATCTTGTGGAGACAGAACACAAGATTGACGTTAACCATGCTTTCAGAGTAATTTACCGCATACCTACGAATCTCAATTTTGCTTTAAGAGTTCGACTACTAAATATTGCTGAGGCTGTGGGGATCCATATCAAACAAGCCTGATTTATGCATCCAAAAGAAATTAGTTCAGTCATTATCACTACCTTGGCCATTTAGTTTTGAATGGTCTTCAATTTTTTGTAGAAATTTCCTTAATTTTAGTTGATATTCTATTTGCTATTATATCTTTATTATAATAATTTAAGCATCTTTAATTAACTGTAATTCCACTGTGATCTTACTTAACAAATCGATATTATTTAGAAATCACTAATATTGTTATTGACTACTAATTTAAAATATTCTATGTATATAAACATGCATATATAATTGTAGAGCCTGGAAGAGGAATTTATCGAAAAGGATATTCTTTGCTCGATTATCTTGTGTTTTATAATGTAACTGTTCTTTCTCTGCTTCGAGAAATACACGATGACATTTTATTGAATACCAACTATAAAAAGTTGAGGAGTACATTTTTTGAAACGAAGACACCACTCAGGATCGGTCATCTCATGTATTGGGATAATCTGCCATCGTGGAAAATGCTTTTTCATGTATTTATTAGAAACTTGCGAATCAGCAGGTTGTAAATGTTTTAAATACACACCAGAGTAAACAATACAATTCTAGGTTATATTTTACTACACATAAAAAAACTGAATAAGAGAAACTACATGCAATATATATTGATGGAGGTTATTTTCTGCAGCCCAAGTTTTAATCGGGCCGCGTTGAGCTAAATTAACCAATCATATCACTTTTCAAATGCTGGTCTCCAGGGATTTGATTGAATTCCTTTTTGGTCACGAACTGTTAGTGAACGCCTGGATTACACTTCGAGGAGCCTACCGCTGAACTATTGAAGCACACTGACTTTGCCAGTTGATTCTAATCAATATTGTCGAAAATGCCGCAATTCTGGTATTTTGTTCTCTTAGCTGGATGATTTAGCTATCCTACTGGACAGTATATTTGGCGTGATATATTCATGGTGACCTTTTAGAAGGACAATCAGAGATTCATAGTGAAACTATCCAGCTGACAGAGCACCATAACACCAAAACACTGAACTGAGTTATGAACCTTCTTCACACGGACTGAGATTACAACTTGTTTCCGATTAAGTCGTATTAGGCTTAACTCTTATATACAAAATGTTTAAAAATAAATATTCAAATATATAAACCAATCATGGTGTTTTTTCTATAGGATAATACGATGGTGAATATAAATTGTGCAATTAGTCATAATAGTAGTAATGATAATAATAATAATAATAATAATAGTAATAATAATAATGGTCTTATCAATAATAAGGATGAAAAAGTGAGGCAATCTGTGATAACATGAATAATGAAAAAACAGTATGATTAAACAAACAACTGTTCAGGTGGAAGTAGTCGATAAAGGCTAGTAAAAACAAATGAACCGATTAAGTAATGCTAGATTGTAAGGGGAGGAAATGAAACACGTTTATAATGAAGATTAAATTAAGGAATGATAAGAAAGGGGTTGAAAATATAAAAAAGGGGTAGTGTAGAGGTCATTAGTTGGTTACGTCTTAATAGGCTAACAAGGAATGGATAATGGCTGTACAAACCTCTTTTGAATGCATAGTTTACGCTCAATAATTTGAATGCCTATCGCCTCAGCTGTGTGCAGTAGACAAATACGAAGTGTATTAGAAAGATTCGGTGGAATGCGTTGAATTACCTTCAAAGCTCTCGTTTCTATACTACATGACCACTATCAACTAAATGTGACAAAATTGAGCTATGGATTGTTTTTGTCTGTCCTTCGCCAAACCACGATGAGAGATGTCCACTAACACGTTGGCTAAGCTGTCTATTAGTACGCCGCCCAACATAACTTTCACCGCAGATGCAGTTGAATTGATAAATGCACATAGATGTGTCAAAACTATCTAGCTATCTATCCTTCGTTTGCGTCCTAATTATTCGTCGACTAGAGTATGATAAACATAGGTGTGCTGCGTAAAACGTTCTTCGGATACTCCTAGAAACTCTCTGGAATAAAATCTCACTTGATAAGTCACCATTAAATTGTAACTTAATAAATAGAGGGTTTTTACGTGCAGTCATAGTCTCAGGTTTTTCCTCCAAAGTTTTCATATGTTTCTTTATGAAACTACTTGGAATATATTTAAATTCCCTTTGTAAGAGGTCCTCTGTACATATCTTTCTTGTTCTGCTCGTAAGACATTTAACAACATTTCTTTCATATTTAATGGGTAAGTAACAAAGGAAGTGTGTGTACTGCCCTGTGAATGTGCTTTTTCGATACACGGTTCTCCCAAGAGACCCATCCTCTCATCTACTTAACAATACATCCAGAAAATGTAGTTTACTATCCTGCTCCTCTTCACAAGTAAAAGTAAGCGAGGGGTGGACGTTATTGAATTTCATCCACAATTCATCAATGTTTATTTTTTTATTTTTTTTTTTTTGATTTACAGCTTGATTCCACACTGTATTTTCAGTACAAGTATGGAATTTTCAGCATGGATATCGGTTAGCCCAAATTCAGGCCTACCATAGATATCGGGTGTGCGCCGGCAGGGGATCGAACCCCAGACCATGTGCATGGTCGGCGAGAGTCCTAACCACTGTGCCACCGACGCACATTCCCATCAGCTAAGATAAATGTATCAGCTCAATTTTATTTAGGTGTTTTTAACTGATTCGTATGCGCCACTGATTAGTTATGTTGGACTGACATGCTCAGTGCTAATTTCTACGGAAAAAGCTTCAGTGGGACAGATAAGTCGGCAACGTCAACCCTAAGATATCATAATAAAATCCATTACACTACCATATGTGAGGAATATTTGTGAGATAACAGCTAGAATATTGGGGGGTGGGCATCCGGAACAGATACAGCACACAAACCAAAAACATCATCTACAAAATATACCGTGAAAAGCTTTATGCTGGTCAATGTGAGCATCCCCTTCATTTCCCAATCCAAGAGTGTAAACTAGCCATCAAAGAAGACGAAACATATATTCCTACATATCAATGCATGTAGACAAACAGTGGACACCAGTTTCGCTGTGGAAATGTCGAAATTTTAAACAGTGGAAACACCAGACAGACGCTTGGCACTCAGACGAATCAGCTATCAATAGAGACATTATTATGCCTGAAATTTATCAGTTTTAATAAGGGAGAATACACAAGACAAAAACG